ATTTTTTTAACAATTATGAAGTTGCATACAAGCAACTTTGCGACTACGTTCGATATATATAATTGTACTGCAGCGGTAACACAAACATAGTTTGCAGGAAGAATTGAAAAAAGGTTTTTTTATTAATTAGATATTGCAAAAACACATGTAAAAAGTGTTAGAAATAGAGTAAACAGGTCAAGCGAAATAATAACTAGGTTTATAAATATGAACGAACATGTACCAACACGATACAGTCAACTGAAAACATGTTTTTTTTTTCTTTTCTTTTACTTTTATTTCAATGTTGCATGGACCAGGAACTATGGTATAGTCTTTATCAAAAAAAAACTATGGTATAGTCGGGTAAAACTACAAAAACCAGAAACGCAGAAAAAGACATGTAAAAGAAAAAAAGAGAACAGATGAAGAAACAGAGAAAACCCATTACACACTGAGGAGAAGAAGAAGAAGATATTACTGATAATGCTATTTCCTTAATCATGATACGTCTATAAGAGTCTATTACAAATAAAAACAACACACAAATGCTTCAAATAAAATAGCGATGCAGGCATGCAGCCCACATCTAGGATCCTTGTTAGTTGTTAGGCTCATCCAGTAATTTTCCGGATATGCTTAACAGTATTTTATTGTTATTTTGTTTTGTCTAATACTCTAATTAGGAGTTGTGTTGTTTAACTCTAAAATTTTTAACTTTCGAATTTCTTTTCTATTGGATATGGGTTTTTATTTCATAATAAAGCTATCTTGAGGGTTTTCCTAGCGTGAGTGATATACTAAGAACAAATAAAAGAGCTTTTAAAAGATACGTTTTTCTTTCTGAGTTTGGAATTTCTTTGAATCAACGTACGACTTTGAGGAACCCTATAACGTTCGGTTTTGGGAAGAATCAATGAATTATGAAGTTTATCATGCTAACATTCCGTCAAGTGAGCTATTTTCAACTAAAAACAAACGGTGAAATCTTGTTTTATTAAGTGAGCTATTTTCTTCTAGCTTTTTAATTACAAAGACCCATCTATCATAATTAATAACAACCTTTTTCCATAATGGATTCCAAGTATAGCTTCACTTAAAATATGATTCATCAAATAGAAAACTTTAAACAGTTGAAAAGAGAAGAAAGATAAGAACTATCACGGGAAAAAAATATCAAGTGCATCGAACGAAAGGGACAAAAACAAAATATAATAACAACAAAAAGTTCAGGGAAACGATTAATGTTTGTCCGTGGAAATTAGGAAGCACGTGAATTAACCGAGGTACATGGTGGGTCAAGCGGTGGTCTATCTTGTATCATACGGTGACGTCGTCACCTCAACGCCTGAGTAAAAAAGATAAATAGTACCTTCGAATATAATAAACGATTGAAGTATACTACTAATTACGTTTATAATTTATTCATAAGAAGTGATTCGCAACATTAAGTCTATAATCAAGAAGAGATGGAACTTTAAAGATTAAAGGAGGAATGGAGAAAAGTTATCCGACTTTTGACATGACAGCCTTCTTAATCTGATGTTATGAACTTTATTCACAAAAAAGATTTTTCTTTGCCTTGTATAACAACATTACTTAATAATTAGATGAAATCAGAAGGCGTCTAATCTCTCTAAGCAAAATTCCTTAGATATGCAGTGCTAGTCTGCTAGATAACAAACTCAAAATGTCAAGAACTTCAGACTTATTCGTGTTTTATAAATGCCTAACAAATATGTAGCAGTGGATTTTGAATTTCGTCAATTATCAATCCTTTCCTAGATAAATCACTGTATAAACTACTATTTTCATAATCATACAAAAACTTGTTCTCAAATCTCAAATATATTAATATTTCAATCCTAAATCAGTCAGATAGGTGACATGAGCTCAAAACTAACCTAGACCTCTTGCAACTCTTATGAGGTTTCAATTGATGTTGTAGCTAAGAACTATGACTCTCTGAGTCAATATCACATTTAGGTTTCCAAATACATAATGCTCTCGCTATCTTCCCAAAAAGTCGTTTGGTCACCTTTTTTTACTCCCATACACCAAAGATGTGGTAATGGTTTTACTTCAAGTTTTCTTGTTATCTTGTTTTTCTCCAAGTCATAAATGACAGAACGTCTCGGTTCAGTAGTCGGTATGCGTTTTATCATTGCTAGCCTAACCTCATTGCAGCGGCTCGTGCCTTGCATCCCCAACTTATCGTCAGGGGCAAAATTCATCTGAGAAAGAGGCAATACCACAGTCTTGTTTGACCACTTTTTCTTCCCTGCATTCTCCATAACCCATAAATCCACGCTCGCATCAGACGCAAATCGGGAGTACTCAAAAACAGTTAATTTGCCTCTGTAGTTGATGAGATTCGCGCGAAACGTGTGCCAGATGATGCCAGCCTCAACGGGTAGTTCAATCAGATTAAACTCTTCAGAACTCAAGTCAAAACTCATGAGCACACATCTATTCTTATCAACCCAAGCTCCATAATACAAGACACCATCGATGGAGATACCTTGTGAGTAAGGACGATGAGGAGGAGGAGGGATGGTGCAATAAGTGTTTCTCCAATAAGCTCCAGGACCAAGTACCAACATCTGATGCTCGGATCTCACTATGCCCTCTCTCTTGCTCTCCTCCCAAACTGTGTTAAGCACTTTGTATTCATCATTAACAGAGTCGTGTCCAAAATAGTTCCAAACATTGTCATTAGCTTCAGCCAAAAATGTCGACCTTATGATGGGCAAGGTCACGCACTGTCTGGTGGTGAGGTTACAGATTCGCACTCTTCTCCCAAGTCTGACACAGAGCAAGCCACGAAGAGCATTCACGAAGTAGCCTCCCATTCCGGGCATGTTCCAGTACAGAGACATCCGAGTGATCATGAGACGACGATGATGATGAGACTAACACATACTCGAGCTGGTCTGCCTTGTCCACAAAAGACATGAGCAGACGCCGTCGTTGCGCCGAAGATGGGGATTGAAGGAATAAGTTGATAAAAACAGGGGAAGAGATAACGGAGTACCAGAACTGTGAGACGCACATAGACCTCGTCACCTCTTTCGCCGGTAATCTCGCCAGGATATCCATCAACAGGTCCTCAGTGAGATTCTCAAGGCTGCAGGGTTTAGAATCGGGCTTGGCCATGACTCTTCTTCTCTTTCTCGGTCTTTCGAATTCATCAGCCGTCAACCTTATCTCCTTCTTCATCAGTCGTTTCACGGCCGCGAGACGGAAGGAAAACCCCATAGCTTTTTTGATTGATCTGTTCCAAAGTCCGACCACAAGTACAGACGTATTTTTACTTTTATATACAAAAAGCATATAGTTAGTTACCCTAAGTAAATAGGAGAGTAACAATATTTTCCTTTTTCCTTTTTGGGGTAATAAGGTATTTTGAATTATATTGATATCCTATTTTCTGATCCATAGGTTTTATTTAGATACGAAACCAAAGGATTTGATTTATATGGTATACGAACTAAACTTTTCATTCGTTTTTACTCTCGTAACCTTCTAGTTCAAAAAAGCTCTGTTTTCCATTTCTTCTTCGCCTCTAAAACTACTGATATCATTAAACTTAAACTAAACCAAAAGTAAATTGTAGCTAACCTTAGAAGCTTGGTGTAATGTTTTTCAAATTTACGCAGAAGGCACTCGAGAAAGGATTAAATTACAAGGATATAATTTAGGTCTCCAAATACATATTGCTCTTAGTTCATCCCGTTAAAATGTTGTTTGAAAATCCTTGTTTATTCCAAAAATAATTATGTTGTGGTAGACTTAATTTTTTTATTAAAAAAAAAAAAAGTATACATATTGTAATGTCGGTATTTGAGATAAGAACATATCTATTGTGTAAGGTTCATAGTCCTAAACTCCCTATTGTGACTACGTTTATACTTTCGATGTGAGATTTTTAACAAAATTAACTTTAACACTCATCTAATTGACATTCATATGCATTTGATTGTGGGTATCGTGAGAATCATATTCCTTTTTTCTCAATTTTTTTTTTTTGTGAGAATCATATTCCGTTGTCTCTAAATGAGTGTTTTAGAAAACTGATCATCTCAGATTATATAGATGATAAGATGAATGAGTAAGCTTTTATTTATTATTTATTGCGGTGGTTATAGTGATGCTCTCTTGAAATGTCCTGGTCATATAAATTAGATAGGACCAGGTTCGTTTGTATTGGCTCAGTCACAAAATAAAAGTGTTGTTTGGAAATAATTGATTCCTGATTGTAGGGCAAAAGGGTCGAAGCAACATGTGCGAGTATTTTCGTAAGGATACACGAGTTGATTATAACTTGTAACGAACGTCTAGACTTTTTATCGGAGGATGACTCAATTGACAAAGTGGTAATCTAAAGGAAAAGTGACCAATGAAACATTATTCATGTGAGATGGGCCAAAGCTGCTTCATTTGACCCTTTTCTTGTGATGTTGGCTTAGACTTTATTCAACCCATTCCGTGAAACAGGTACTCTCAAAATGTCGTCGTTTAGGAAGACTAATTCAAAATGGAACTTATTGTTAGAAAAGAAACAAAAATTACATAATTCTTGTAGTGGGATAAATTATTTTACACTCCTTTGCTTGTGTCCTATGTATTTTTAAACATATAATAAACAGTGACAAAAAAAATCACCACAATAATTCAATTTGTGCCTAAAGGCAGACAAAAAAATAAAATATGGTCGTTGTTTTGCTTTGAAAAATAGAAAGTAGTCGAGATTGGAGCGTCAGCTGCCAACCATCGAGCATTTGCTAGTTGCTACTACATCTCTATTCATTTCATTAAAGAAATTTGTTTCTTTTATAGTTTTATATATTTAAATTCTAAAAAGCGAAAAACAAGGTCCCAATATTAATATTGTATTAACACGCTGTACAATATAGTCCTTATTTGACTTTGAAATGAAAAAAAAATATAACGTGATGATTCAGATTGATCAATGCTATTATTGATATATAAACTTGTTAGCTCTTATCCAAATTACTTCCAAACCTTCTCACTCTCTCTTTTCTCAAATGGAAGCTGAGAATTTGATGAATCTTTCTCTTCTCCAACGCAGAAACGGCGCCGTTTCACAAACCCTAGACTTAGAGCTAGTGTCCGTCAACAAATCCTCCGATGATCCTCTTCCATGTTACACCTCCCTCAAAGACATCCTCCCCTCCCCCTCCACCACCGTCGATTCCCCTGCCATCCCCTCCGCTGCATCGGGTTCGGGTCCCACCATCTTGATCCGCAATCGCCTTGTAAAGCAAGCCGCTTGCTCCTACCTTCAGCCTTCTACTCCAACTCCTTCCTCTAACCCTTCATTCATCCGCCGTGTCTCCTCCTCCTTCCTCCGCCTCTTCTCCGCCTTCTTTGATGCTCTCCTCCGCATCTTCCCATCTCCTCAGAAAATCTTTAAAGCTTAGTCAAGGACATAGAACAGAGAGAATTGAGAAACGATTCTTACATACAGTCTCTGCTTTGTCCAAAAAAAAACAAAAAATAAACATACAGTCTCTGCTTTCTTTTTCTTGATTCATCAATATTTTATTTTATTTAGAACAAATCGTGAAGGTATTTGAGGTTCACGTTTACCTAATACGCCTCAGCTTGAGCCCTGGAAGTGGCGCCACACTCCATGATCAATGTTGTTTAGTTGATTATGCTGTTACCTTCGCCGATTTACGTTTGGTTATTCTAGGGGAATTATGCCAAGACTCAAGACTAGTCAAATGGAAAAAGAAAGACGTCGATGATATTTAATTTGTTACCTGTAACATTATTTTGTTTGTTATTTGGTTAATTAATATATGTGTAACTTAAGAGTTGTCCTAAGAGACCTTGATATATAATGTTGTTATAGGCAATCCAAAAAATGGAGGTGGGGCCTATATCCAAAATTTTAATTAACAGTATCGGTGACTAGAGTGTAGACTCTACATAAAAGAGTTACTTCAATGAAAATACATCCGTAATAAATGAGTTACATACATGAGAAATACATGGTAGAACTTAGAAGTGCTACGGGCCTATATATGGCCTTTATTCTAAAGTCCATAGTCTAGAGTCCAGACTCTCGACTATTCGAGACAAGAAGAGCGTTCAGTATAAAAGAAGGAAAAAAATGGATAATATACAAATATTTGTTAGTGGGTTTCTCTAGCCCACGGAACATAAATCCATCATAATCCCATGTATTGAAACCAAAAGGTTGGTACTTTTTGATTATGATATGTTGAATATTATCAAGACTTGGTAAATTTTCAAAGTTTGTTATTTGTTATAATCATTCGGAGCATATTCTTTTACAACAGTATGTCTGTATATCATCATCTGAATACATTTTTGACAAATTAAAATCATCTAAATACATTCGAATTCAGATTGTCAAAATTTTGTGGTTGGAATCAAAATATGCATATGGTCTAATAGGATCTGCAATAAAAATATTCCAAGCAAGGAGAAAAGCAAACTAGTTTACATGCATTAATACCCTATATAGCTGGGATTAGTTGATCACCATAAATTAGAATAATGAACCAGATTGTCTAATACACATTAATTGTGAAGTTTTATTTAGTGAATACTATTAGAGACCCATACTATTAACTATTTTCATGACCCCACATGCACACATTTATACATATCCATGCAAACTTTATTTTTCTCTCTATATATACCTATCCTCCCTCCAAAATCTCTCTACCTCTTCTCTCTCCTCCTTAGTATTTAGCAGATACAGAGTCAGAACAATGGCGGCTAAAAGCAAGAAGAAGATCCTGAAGACTGTCTCTGTTGTCGACATCAGCTGCGGCAACTGTATAAAACCAACCTTGTCCTCTATTTTCAACTTTTTCTCCAAAAAGCCCAAACGTCCCTCCTCTAATTACCGTCACTGCCACTCCTCCTCCATCTCCTCAGCAACACCCTCCTCCACGCCTTTGGCCACCGCTGCCGTCGCCGTCGAGAAAGATTCAGACGATCCTTACCTAGATTTCCGGCAGTCTATGCTTCAAATGATACTAGAGAACCAGATTTACTCGAAAGATGAACTAAGAGAGCTTCTTCAGTGCTTCCTCAGCCTCAATTCACACTATCATCACGGCATTATCGTTCGTGCCTTCTCGGAAATATGGGAAGACGTTTCCTCCGCCGCCGCTTCCGCCGTCGAAGCGTCCCCTCTCGTCACCCGTCATGTGTCACGTGCGTCACGTGATTACTATAACTATTACTAGGCTAGTTAATGAAAATAAATAGCTATCTATCTTCGTATTTATGTTTGTTAGGGAAGTAACGTTATCGTGATCCTATTAACTCTTTTTAATTTAGGAATATGCCACGTCATCTAATGACACGTGGAATAAAAGTTATTATGCTTTATTTATCCTTAGCTGTGGATCTATCTATATTAATCTTCAGGTTTTAATGTAATTAATATGTTTATATGTTTTGTTGCGTCGGTATAATCAGCCAAACTTGAATGGGGATAGATGTTTCATAGGTTTTCGTCACTCGTGACTCTCTCTGATAGTAACGTGAATGTTCCAAAATGCACGTTAAGTTTCATTTATTTTTAATAAAGTACGTACGATATATTGAGTGCAAATTTTCTGATCTTTCATTAAAATATATGATCTTTTTCTGTACAAACAACTTTAGATCCTTAACAAAAAAACAAAAACAAACAAATTTAGGTCTGACGATGCAGAAACATGATCAACGTTCGTTGTTAATTTAGAAAATAGTATACGACATGAGAGATATATAAGAGACTTGTAGGTCCACACTAATTATATTCGAACAGTATACAAATTCACTTGAGCATGCGAAATATAGTGCATTAATTAGTTTTGTCATAACTGAATATAACAAGAAAATATAAAAAGTTATGACAACAAAAGAAAGAAAGTTTAAATTGATGTTAGATAAATAAGAAAAGATTATATTTATCAGAAAGAAACTATAGCCGGTCCAAATACGAGTGTCTGGGTATATATATGTGTATCACCATGGATTACTATTCTTGTTATAGATGTAGTTATGTCATCATTACTGAATATAACAAGAAATTTTTGAGACAGAACAAACAAGGAAGTATAAATTGATGTTAGAAAAACAAGAAAAGATGACCATAGATTACGATTCTTGTTTTGAAATATTCAAATGAATAAGTGTACGTACGGTGACAATAATAACCTGTACGTAATTAATTATATGCCAGAGCTCTTGAGTGTGGAGTGGACAATGGAGCACGTAGAAAACTTGTGGCTTTGGGCGATAAAATGCAAGAACACATATTTAAGATTCGCAATAATTAGAAAGAGAAGTATAATAATACTGATAATTGATAATCATTACATTACTACACGAGTATATAACTATTTGTCAATTACTACACATGTATCATATATTCATATCGTAGATATATGTGTATAAATTGTATTACATGTTATGGTATGATGCTAGTATCCGACTTGTTATCAATTTTTGTAATCATGAAGTTTTGTCAAGTTGCCCACTAAGTTCCAATGGACATTTTTGTGACATCAAGTGTGAAGTTTTGTCAATGTGAATTGTCAAAAAGAACCAACATTTTCCCCCAAAAAATCACCTCTGTCCCCATTTATTAAGTTTTTACACCCATCACTACAAAAGCTAGACGAACTGTTAAAAAAATGTAATCGTTACGATTAAGAAGACACGCGATGTTCATCCAAATTCACAACATGATTAATAATAAAAAAAAAAAAAAACCGAAATCCCTGAAATTATGAATTCCTATAACTTCTTAAAGATTGGTAAAACGTAGGAAGTGTTTGGGCTAACCAAGTATAATTTTTACTGATGATCATAATTTTAAAAAAATTTCATAAGATCAAGTCTTTTGCAATGACAATATATGGACTTAATTTTGGACATGACTCTGTTTATTATGAATACAAAGTGCTTAGCACCGTTTGGGAGGTGGGCAAGGAAGATGAGATGCTTAGATCTGAGCATCAGGTGTTCATATTGTTCAAACTTATGCAAAAGTCATTCATTTAAGAAGGGGAATGCATAACATAGATATAATTTAGGTCTACAAATACATAATGCTCTCGATATCATCCTCACAATAAGTCGTTTGCAAACCCTTGTTTATTCCCAAAAACATAAGATGTAATGGTGGAATTATTTCAAGTACTCTTGTTATTTTGTTCTTCTCCATATCATAAATGACATACCGTGATGGTTGACACGCCGAGAGATTTTTCAAACCCAGTCTGAGCTCACCGCAGCGACTCGTGCCTTGCATCACCAACTGATCCCCATGGACAAAATTCATTTGGGAAAGGGGCAAGACCAAAGTATTTTTTGACCACTTCTTCTTCTTCATATCCTCCATAACCCACAGGTCTACACTTGCATCAACCTCAAGTTTAGAATATTCGAAAACAGCTAATTTGCCTTTGTAGTTAACGAGGTTAGCACAATATGTGTGCCAGATGATACAAGCCTCTATAGGTACCTCAATCAAATTGAATTCTTCAAGAGTCAAGTCAAAACTCATGAGCACACATTTATTTGCATCAACCCAAGCTCCATAGTACAACATACCGTTGATGGAGATACCTTGTGAGAAAGGATGATGAGGAGGAGGAAGAGTGCGGCTTTGGGTGCTTCTCCAAGAAGCTCCAGGACCAAGTACCAAAACCTGATGTTCTGATCTGACTTTGTGTTCCTCGGTGATTACCCAAGTTGTACTTAGCACTTTATATTCATCATGAACAGGGTCATGTCCAAAATAGCTCCAAATATTGTCACTATGTTCAGCCAAAAGACTTGATCTTATGATGGGCAAAGTCACACGTTGCTTAGTGGTGAGGTTACAGATTCGCACTCTTCTCCCAAGTCTGACACAGAGCAAGCCACGAAGAGCATTCACGACATAGCCTCCCAGTCCCGGCATCTTCAGATATTGGTCAAGTACAGAGACAGACGTATCCGAGTGATCAAGCGGCGATGATGAAGATGATGAGAGAAACCCACACTTGTCCGGATCTTCCTTGTCCACAATAGACAGGAGCAAACGCTGTCGCTTCGTCGATGATGGGGATTCAAGGAAAAGGTTGATAAACACACGGGAAGAGATTATGGTATACCAGAGTTGTGAGACGCACATTGACCTCGTCACCTCTTTCGCCGGTAATCTGGCCAGAATATCCATCAACAGATCATCAGTGAGACTCTCAAAGCCGCAGGGTTTCGAATTCATGACTCTTCTTCTCTTTCTAGGTCTCTCGAATTCATCAGCAGTCGACCTTATCTCCTTCTTCCTCAGTCCTTTCACGGCCGCGAGACGGAAGGAAAACCCCATAGCTTTTGATACAAGTACAGACGTAATATAATTTATACTTTATATACAAAAGCACTAGGTTACCCTTAAATAGAAAATAATAGGAAATAAGAAATAATAATGTAAAGAAACAAGAAGCTTGTCTATTAAACCGCTATTTTAATCATATTAATTAACTCGTTTGCAAACAATAATCGTTATGATATCAATACATGATACTCGTAGGTTTTTAAATTTATACACACACAGCTGATTAAATAGTTATCCCGAAAAAATGGGAAAAGATTTTTTACGCGTACTTATTCAATAATTATCAAAAAGTAAAGTGTTATTATCCCAAACAAAAAAAGGAAAATAGTTCTTAATTTCTATTTACTTAGTTTTAGGTAATAAATTACTTTCCTAGTTCTTAATTTCTATTTACTTAGTTTTAGGTAATAAAAGTAACAGAGTTTTAGTATAAAGTTTTTATACGTGTGTTACTTGTGGGTAAAGACTTTGGAATTGACAAGAAAGATCGAGGCTCTGGAACAGATATATCAAAAGCTGCTATGGAATTATCTTTCCGTTCTGCCGCCGTGAAAGGGCTGAGGAAGAAGAAGGTGTGGTCGAAGGCCATGGTCAAGTCCGATTCTAAATCCTGCGGCTTTGAGAATCTCACTGAGGATCTATTCATTGAGATCCTGTTGAAATTATCGGCCAAACAGGTGACGAGGGCAATGTGCGTCTCACAGCTCTGGTATTCCGTAATCTCTTCCCGCTATTTTACCAACCTTTTCCTTGAATCCTCATCTTTGTCCAAACGACCGCGTTTACTCATGTTTCTTGTGGACAAGAAATACCAGAGAAATTTTAAGTTTCTTTCATCATCGTCGCTTATTGATCACGTAGATACGTCTGTCTCTGTCTTCGACCAAAATCTGGACATCAAAGGAATAAGCGGCTACTTCGTGAATGCTCTTCGAGGCTTGCTCTGTGTCAGACGTGGGAGAAGTGTGCGAATCTGTAACCTAACCACCATGCAGCTCGTGGATTTGCCCATAAGATCAAGACTTTTGGCTGAAGCTAATGACAATGTTTGGAGCTATTTTGGACATGATCCTGTTCATGATGAATACAAAGTGCTTAGCACAGTTTGGGAGGATAGCGAGGGAGAGGGCATTGTGAGATCCGAGCATCAGATGTTGGTACTTGGTCCTGGAGCTTATTGGAGAAACACTTATAGCATTACTCCTCCTCCTCATCGTCCTTACTCACAAGGTATCTCCATCAACGGTGTGTTGTACTATGGAGCTTGGATTTATAAGAACACATGTGTGGTTATGAGTTTTGACTTTGCTTATGAAGAGTTCAATGTGATTGAATTACCCGCTGAGGCTGGCATTGTCTGGCACAAAGATCGCGCGAACCTCATCAACTACGGAGGCAAATTAGCTGTTTTAGAATACTCCAGCCTTTCATCTAATGCAAGTGTGGACCTGTGGGTTCTGGAAGATGCAGGGGATATGAAGTGGTCAAACAAGAATCTGGTCTTACCTCTTTCACAGATGAATTTTGTCCATGGCGATAAGTTGGAGATACAATGCATGAGTCGATGCGGTGAGATTAGGCTGGTAAAGACAAATATCAGATCGTGTAAAACTAGACCCTCAGTCATATATGATTTGGTGAAGAACAAAATAACAAGAAGACTTGCAATAACCTCAGAAATGCTCTGGTTTTGTGGAACATCCAGGGATTTGCATACGATTTTTTGGGAGGATGATCTTGAGAGCATTATGTATTTGGAGACCTAAATTATTTTTGCATAAATCTGAACAATACCACTCTGAGCTCCTAAGATTAAAGTTATTACATTTCATATGAACAATGTGAGGAGTTGGATCCATACATACATGACTCCATAACTCGTAAGGTGATTGAATT